TAGTGAACATGGCTGTTTATAGAGCCAGTGCATACAAAGAATGCATAGATAAATGGACTCTTACTAACACATTGGCATTTAGTCATACATACACACCACATACATACTTTTTGGCCGTAAAAAAAAGTGACTTTTAATTACAATTTGTTTTACAAAATAATCTTTTAAGTTAAAATATGCAAAGCTATTTTTAAAACAAAATATCTGCAAAGGATTGGCATTTCCCCATAGATCACTGCATCTTCTACCATGTTTGGTGTGTGTGGTGACATGAATGTGGGGCACAGTAGAGAGTGGGTAGATGTGCACACTACCTGATAGTGGAATATGGCAGAATTATCGAGGTGTGCACATCATTTTCATGTACAGGTCTACACAATAAAGACCTCTTCCCAGGAGAAGTTATGAAATGCTATGAATGTTACTGTATTATCATTCATCTAGATGTGTCTGTAACAGGTGTTAGCAGAACTCACTTTTCATTACTTTGCAGTTAGGCTGTGGTATACCACAGTCATACTGCAGCCGTAAAATGGAAGCAAGAAATAAGGGTCAGGTAAACTAAAACCATTTCATTTTGCATGATTACATTGTTGTGGCATCTTATTTTTTTGTAGATTCAGAAGGTTAAGCTTCTGTGCAGATGTTCCCAACTCCCCCAACCTACTGCTGCTATGGAGAGGGGGGGTCTCAATTTTTACATTACAGATAACGTAATGCAAAAGGATGCACAAGACTCCATGGCACAGAGCATAACGCTGGGAACTCTATGAAGTAAATTCAAGCTATCCAAGGAAACCGATGGGTGAATCAGCCAGGCAGTATGCATCCATAGATGAGACATCAGATTTGGCTGGACTGGCTCTTTAAAGGGTAATTCCTAAGGGTCCTTCACATTCCTAATTAGTATGGCAATGTAAACTATGCTGGTACTTTAGAAAATATTTTATATTGTATTGAAATTGGAAATAGACTTGAAATAACTGTACTAGATCCGAGAACATTCACAGCATCTGCAACACACCTAGGCAGACTTTGTATGTATTAATTATGAAGACATACTTTGAGATTATTTTCTTTTCTAATGAAGCATCGGACAGGACACAAGAAACCATGGGCCCTGTGCTAAGATCCCTACATCTTGGAACTACAGGCACATAGATGTCCATGGGATATATGGCCAATTAATGGATTTTAAAGCCTCTAGAAATTCTAGATGGACATTCAGAAATTGCTGAGGGGAAAAGGAGCCATGTGTGGTCAGGTCAGTGCACACATTGCAGGTGAATTACAATGTAGGTGGTTCTGCCATTGTACTCAGCCTCTGTAGAGCTGCATCATTTTCCAAATGCAGCAATTACCTGAAATTATGGGGCTGAGTATGACAATGTGATGGTGGATGGATGGTGTATTTCTGTTAACTAAAATTAGTGCATTCCATTATGCTATAACAGAGAATGATGAGACCTGAATGTTTAGTACATTTATAATATCACAAATAAACTGGATTTTAGTTGGTTCCGGAAAATAGGTTTCCCTTACCCTGCCTTTTATGCTAGCATGGTCCAGCTTTGAGCCTACTCATTCTAGTGTTCTGGTGTTCTAGTGGTACTTAGTTCTTAGTGTTCTTGTTGTACTTTCCACCAAGGTCTGAGCTTTGAGCATTCTGCTTTTTCTGCTCAAGAGCATTCTGCTTTTGAGCATTCTGTATGTCAACATGCTTCTTGTGAATTGGTTTCTGAGCTGTCCCTGAACACTGCACATTAAAGACAGGTAACCATCATGGCTATTCACTAAAAGGGTGAAGTGTTTGGAGAAGGCAGAAGTGAACAATCTAGGACAACATGGCTAAAGGGGAAAGTTGAGTTGGAGAATTTTTCCTAGATTGTTCACTTCTCTTGCCTTCTCCAAACACTTCACCCTTCAGTGGATAACCCTGCATATGTCTTCAGGGGATTTTGTAGATAATAGGAGAAGATTTGGAGTTGCAGAATAGACACTTGTAGTGGAACTCCAGCCAATGTTTTAATTTTTGGTTTTAGATAAGAGTAGGGAAGAATTAGAATGTATATTGGTTTTCTATTGCTGCCTGAGTCACCACTGGAAGATGTCTTCAAACTTCCCGTTCTGTGTCTGCAGAAGAAGTAAGGGAAAATCTTGCCATCAGGGACACAAGCTGATACAAAGATCTGACATAGCTTCCCATTCTATATAGAACTAAAAATAATAAACAAAAGTGATGGTTAGTATCCACCCTGAAAGTATATTATTGGAAAGCACTTATGAGAAAACACATGATTTGCTTCACTATATTCTTTAAGTGTTTGTTTAAACAAAATGCACATTCTCGTAATTTATTAGCAAAACTGTGTTCTTATTTCCTTACCACATTCATTCCAAGGACACTTGAATGGTCACCATCAATGTCTATGTATACACATAAATCTGGAGTGTACATCCGTCTCAATGCAGGACATTATGCCTGTGCAGCTGTCAGATGTATAACATGTTGCTGCCTTTAGAGGTAACAGAAGAGACATCAGGAATGAAGCATAGTCCTGCCAGATACCAGGTTATGCTACACATAGCAAGTATGCCTATTTGTCATTTAAAAACTTATAGAGGAGAACTGGCAATTCTCTAGACTCTGAACAAGGAGAAAACAAGGGGAAAAGTCTATTAATTATTCTCCTGCATAAAATTAATGGCTAATTAAATTACTGAATGCAGCCGCAACTAATTTTGCTGATGAGCTTCAACAATTAAATGTGTTAATATAATGAACTAGGTTTTTTTGTTTAGAAATCACCAAATCACATATTGGCCACTAAACTGAGAGCATACATCATCATTTAGCAGGAAATTAAGGGATTCACAATACACAAACTGAACTATCCAAGCTGAATTCATTATCAGAGCAAGATTCAGGGTGATAAAAACTTGGCACAAAATACATCGATAGCCCATTTGTACTATCATTAAAATTAGCTCATTAAAACTCACTTGCAAAATAGTGGATTATTTGTGCCTAAATACAATCAAAGTAATCAAAATACAGTCTGAGGGAGTGTTGTATGTCATAGGACATGATATATATAAATATAACAATAGCACATCATGAGCCAACCTGCATGTTATTCATCACTTAATAGGAGATACATACATACATTTCCACAATAACAGTACTGGCCCTAGGTCTCTTCCCAACTCCTACTGCAAGTCAAGCACTGTGTTACTTTTAACACTGATAAATGGATGGCGGATTTGCCAGTACCTGCAGCTTTTCCAATCCCCGAGGCCTTACCTGCAGTTCTTGGATGTGATCAGCTTGAAACAGATACCCAAGAACCCTTTGAAATAAGCAGGGGGCAAAATTAGTGAGGTTTATAAAACTAATGCATCTGAATTAATCATTGCATCTTGCTATTAGGCAAGGACTAAGCCATTTAGGTCTTCTTTAGGTGGTAGTGAGAAAGTGCTCTATATATGCATTGATTTCCAAACTTGGAGGGAACTCTGTGGAAGCAGGTACTGATTATATTTTTGATGGAGAAACGTGAACATTGCCACTGTGTGTTGTGTGCACACTTTGGCAAGTGGAAATGACTGCAAGAGGTCCTGATTGTTAGGCGACAAGTTCAAAGGTGAGCAGCTATTTTTGGTAAGATATCTGCTTAGTCTTACTGCTGGCACAAGTGAATGCATAGCCCGGGTAGGCAAATGTCGGCCCTCCAGCTGTGGTGAAACTACAAGTCCCATGATGCATCTGCCTCTGGGAGTCATACTTTTGGCTGTCAGAGCCTTGCAATGCCTAATGGTATTTCTAGTTTCACCACAACTGGAGGGCCAATGTTTTCCTACCCCTGGCCTAGACTATTTCCAAGGTACCCACATTATATCTACATTTCAACCGATTCGGCTGATTTTAGTAGAAATGGGCAACAATTATGCTTCCTATGGTAACCTCATTCTGCAGAAGAAAGGTCTAGGAATAGGTTTATTGGCTGGGTATTTTTTTTAAAATCTCCCTTAAGACTATTAAAAAATCTTTTCCTGTATGTGTTTTCTAAGACAGATATGCCTGATCATATGATATAAGCATGTATATGTGTATCCTCCAGAAACAGGGTTTCTTGGCCAGATCATTACCCAGTTTTCTACTGTTGTGTAATATCAAAAAGGTAATTTTAAAGAAACCTGTGGTTTGCCACTTTTCCATGCAGAGCAAAGCAACAGGTTTGTATAATGCCCCCCCCCCCAAACTGCGCATACTCATGATTTGCTCGTTCAGCCACTGGGAGTGAGAAAGGAAACCCTGTGTAAGATCCAAGATGCTCAGAGCTTAGACAGGGCTGAATACTTCCTGACTCACATGTGACAGCATTGTGTCAATCACCAAGCACCTGTGCTTTCCAATGGGAGTAGGAAGAGTGGGACACATGCTTCTTCATACCTAGAAGCATTGGTTATTTTCTTCACAAACAGAAGCTGGATGGAGTGGCAGGAGAGCAAAGGAAAGGTGATTACATGCCGCTGGGGAGGGTAATAAAAAGAGCCTATTGCTTTGCCCTGTGTTTGATTTAGGATGCATACATTATATAGGATGTCCATCTAGAGAAAACGCTGCTACAATTTTACAATGTATTTGGCAAATAAAAGACTTCTCTGTATCTTTAAAGATCTGTATCATTAATTTTGAACAGTAAAATTCATATGGATCCAATTAGTTCTTGTTCTTTTATAGTGGAACCAAGAGTATAAGTGAATTTTTGTTGCAGAACCACATAAGGCAACTGGCTAAACAGTCTGTACATCATGTCTAACAATTGTTGAACCTTCCTAAAAGATTGCAGATGTGTACCTGCACATTTAGCATAGTAAACCAACTGCTGTTTAGATCCAAGGGAGATATTTTCTTCATCCCTAAGCTAACCCAAAACACTCTGGACATGGAGTAATTTGTTTTCTGCCATCTAATTTCATGTATGTTTTCTAAACATAAATATATTCCCCACATCTTAATAACAATCATGGCTGTACAAGTGTATAGAGATATGTGAAGATTCCTTGTCCTGTACTTAGGATGCATTATTTTCCGATAAATGAACTGAAACCGAAAGCATCATTACAGACATAAACACAGATCAAAAAAGTGCACACAATAAGGCTATAGGTGAGAAGGCTCCTGTCTTCAGGTCATAAATTACCATTAAACCATTAAATAGATGTATCTAACTATCCAGCAGCTGATTCAGCTTGGCAAGATCATACAAAGACTGTAGCAGCTCACTGCCACTCAAAAGCTAGAATGGACAAGATGTGTTGACTGTGGTCCTTATTTAACAGTGTGGAGAATGTACTGTATAGTATCTGGTTGCTTGTCTAATAAAACTCAAGACAAAAGAAAGTTCTTACAGGACCTTACATGCAAAAATGATGTTAGAAATGGATTAATGAGCATATTTCAGCAGTAAAGAAAATCAGAAACAGAATAACCATAACAGAGCCACGCTGGAAATGGGGCGCAGTGTAAGACGCTAACAAGCTGACTAGGGGATTGTTCATTTCTTGTACTTAATTATGCTGCGGCCACAGGGAAGCCCATCCACTAGACTCCTTTAATATGCTTTACATGATGTCTCCGTGCGGCAAATGATTAAGTACTGCTAGTGCAGCTAATAGGGGAATCCAAGAACCTTTTCTGAGGACACTTGAGCAACCACTATAATCAGAAAAATGCATCTTATTAGAACGGCTATGGCAGTGACCAAGTACTTTTCTCAATGATGAAGATGAGTCAGTGAGCTATGGGATGCTTAGTATTCCTTAACCACAATGGACTCCATGGCCTTTGTTAAAAGTGCAGAAAATGTCATCTGGTCATGAAATGTTCATCTTATTTACAATCGGAGACAGACTATCCAATGCAAGTAATAGGAACCACTGACAGGAGAGAGAGAAAAATAAAAGTTATGAGTAGATATATTTATATTCATGCTTCTTTTGTAGTACGCCATGGTGTCAGAACGAGAACATGCTTGTCAAACATCAGATAAAGGAGATTCTCTGAAGAGAAAGCAGCAGTTTACTGGAAGGCTGGGCTGCAGGATACTCCATTATAGAGCTACTTTAACTTCAGCAGACACATAAGATTCAAGTGTTCATCGATCCAGTTGCTTTCAGCAGCTATGGCATGTCAGCCACGGGGCGTTTCTGTTTCAAAGTGTCAATCAGGGACTGAACGCCCCGTTTTACACTAGTTGTGACTCTTCGTGTCACAGAGTCTGCAGGAGGTGGTGGAGGCTGAATCTTCTGGGATGGAGGCCTGGCAACCAGGCACTTCTGATACCGCAACTGCAAGGGAACAAAGCACATGTTGGTGGAGGAAAGGATCATCCCCTTAAAATGCATTTCCACTGGGATAACACCTACCTTTATATTTTTTGCATGTACCCATACATATCACATAACTTAAAAAAAGTATTTCAAAATGCTGCTTACATTTTTAAAGTGATTTTTACTTGTGCTAAAATCCTATTTAGCATCCTACTTATTTAATGTAAAGGAGGGGGCTGTGGAAAGTTATGTTTACTATAATGAATCCTGTCCGTACTATGCTGGCAGATTTTATTGACAGTTGTAAACTATATTTTAACACTGTCTATGCTAACAAAGGGTTAAAGCATTAGAAGCCTGGCTTCTGCTTTGTATGTTAATGAGAGAAAATTATGCGTGTCCCTGTCTTTGTATGGGGACAGACTCACTTTTAAATTGTAAAAAAAAAGAGTAGCTTGCTGTCTGCCCAAAGGCCAGCTTCAAAGAAACATCTAGAAGGCAAAGTATATATATTAAAAAAAATAAAATAAATA